AAAGGAGGAGAGGAGAGGAGAGGAGAGGAGAGGAGAGGAGAGGAACAAGACAGAACACCTCCTCTTTGGTTTCTTTGGAAGCTTAAGCCAAAGGGGATGACTAATGCTTTCTAAAGTCCACTTTCTTGCTCTTCTTAGTGCAAATGGCTTTGGATTCCTGTATGGGGCAGCAGCCTCTCTTCAGCCTTTCCCTTAGGCATCTGTGTTGTACCAGCTATCAGGAAGCCCTAGAAAATCATAGTTGGAAAGACTCAGGAGAATCTGTCTCCACCCCCTCATTTCTCATTTCATACAGTAGAAACTGAGTGAGGCGGGGATCTTGCTCTGCCAGGACCTGGAACTCGAGGCCCCAACACAGGACCGCAGCTTCCTGCTTAGTGGGCACACAGAACAGGCCTCCTGCCAGCCCCAGGAAAGAGGCAGTACATGAGCCAGCTCCCAGTGCCACACCACCCACAGGAAAAGCTGTACCTTGTCTCCACTGACAACAGAAATAATTTGGGTCATTCACTGAGATACTATTCATTGTAGAGCAGCCCTTTCCCTACAAAACTCAAAAGAAATACCATCTCAGAAAACAGAATGAAACGTTATCGACAGTCATTTTCCGCTAGTCAAAATCGCTCAGGCTCAGGGAAATTGCAGTGCATTTCCATTTGGGTTGCCCATGTTTAAAGCAGGGAGAGTCATTCTTAAAATAACCCACCCTGAGGCAACGGTGACCCTGAGAAGCTGTGGACTGAGGCCGCTGGCTTGAGGAACAGCTGTTTGCTCTAATGCCTCTCTAATAGGGAACATGCAGTGGCGTGCGGACATGTGCAGACAGGAAGGAGACCAGTCAGCTCTTGCAGATGAACAAGACAGAGTTTTGTCATTGTCAAGAATCAGTACTTCGTGACTAATCCATCTTTAGTTGTAGCTAATTTTCCAATTCGGTAATCATGGAGGCTTACAGAATATTAATTCTGTTTGTAGAGTCCAGTTTCTTCTTGACAGCCTTTTATTGCTTTATTCACTGGTGGCTTAAAACTCACAATAGTTCCATGAACGAAAGAAAGGATGTGGACAAATACACTTAGAAATCAAAATCATTCCCAGGGCTCCCTCAGAGTTAGTACTAACTCAGTGAGTACCTGTCATGCACCTACTGTGTGCCAAGCGCTGTCAGATATGAAGCACACAGAGGTTCTCAAGCCTGACTGAGTGTCTCAATTCTCTGGAAGGGCTTTTAAAATGCAGATTCCCAGGCCTAGTGGCTCCGAGCCTCACAAAGACCTCCCAAAGTGTGCTGGCTCTTACAACTAATTGGTTCAATTTTTCTCATCATTTACTTTGTAATCCTTCCTTTTTCAGACTTTGTATCCAAACTCCTAAGTGATACTCCTCTTTTGCCCACTGTCCACTTCCTCAGTCCCAGCTTTTGAACTTTTTCCCTATCTGTATATTAAACCACTGTTTCCTAAAGCTCACTTTGGGGCTCCACCCAAGATCTACTGAATCAGAAACTCCAATGGTAGAGTCCAGCCATCTGCATTTTAATAAATTCATTGAGAAGTTGTCCCCCAGAGTTTCCACCAGCATTCCATGGTGGGTTTTCATATGGCAGAAGTGGCAGTCCCCATTGTTAAAACAGGCAACTAGAACATGGCCATCCTTTGGGGATTTGTCAGAAGTTTCAGCAAGGAGACCAACATCAGATTTCACAATAGAGCTCTTTTTGCCACCAACACAAATGATGGATTAATAGTAAGTGATGGGGAATCTAAGTGTCATGGAGTCACCTAAAATGACCCAGAAAGATAGGAGAGGAGTCTGGGAGTTGGTGGGTTCTCTGGTTAGGGCATGAAGAGGCATGACTATGCCTCGTGCCTGGTGGTACAGCTAATGCTAGCACTTACTCACTCTGCTAGGTGTGTGCACAGCCAGTGGTGTGATGACTCATGCTTATGAGCCTGCTCTCCACCAGATTTCACCCCTGCAGTCACCTAGTACACTTTGCAGGCTCTGTAAGCAGCACGGCAAGTCAACCCCTGCACAGAGCAGAGACTGAGGCATGGGGTGCAATCAGCAGACCACCCCCGCATCACCTTGCCCATCTGATCACACAGCTCACACTGCAACCCGCTGTTCAGGAAGGTGACATTTTTCTTCACTCCTCTGAGGAGTGCAGAGAAAAAGAGGTCATTTGATGCATTTCTGGGTGGGGTACAGGAAGGCAGGTGGGAACAAGAAGAACAGAAGTAGAGAAGGGAATTCAAAAGTAATGTTGTATACTTCTGAGCCAGAGGAAAAGCAGATGTGCCACCAGAACTTCAGCCCTTATGCATTTCACTCAGGTGCACACTCCCTGCTGAGCCCCATTCTAGCCACAGCACTTCTGAACATTTCCTAGTCCTTAGACAAAACAGGGAGCTGCGTGTGGTGCCATAAACTCTGCTGCCCCTTCCTGAGGTTTTGCGTATCACACAGTCCCATGTTGAAACAGAAGGACCGCTCCAAAGGGTTGCATATACAAAGGGGAGACAGTGTTAAGGGGCCCACGGAGGCAGTGAAGCACCCAGGGACCAGCAACAGGGAAGGCTGTCATATCCTTGACCTACAGGGACGAAAACAGTGGCTCTGGGGAAGAGAGCACTCACTGGGACCTGGGACCATGGGGCAAGAGGCAGTGATTGGAATCCTCTCCTCCATCTGTATTCATATGGCCCTGGAGCAAAGGACACCTTTTACATTTTCAAATGGCTGTGGTTCACATGGTTATATAAGTACTTACGTAATGGCCTCCATTTTCCTCTTGACCTGCAAAGTACCTTCTTTACTCTCTGGCCCTTTCTTTAAAAACGTCTACAGACTCCTGCACTATAGGAATGAGGCCATTGCTGAGGGCTGAAAGACAGGGGCAGAGGAGACGGAACATTACCCCAACCCACCCTCATCTTGCTCTCTTATCTCCTTCTGGTTTCCCACATTGGTCAAGGGGAAGCCAGCTGGTGTAGAAACAGGCTTCTGAGCTACAGAGCAAGGGAGGCAGAGAAATATGTCTCTTCAATCATGAGGAAGAGCTACTGGAAAAGAATCCCTCCACCCTGCTACCAGCTCTGGTTTTAATCTCTCTGGTGACCATATATCAGAGTATGACTTCACTTGTCTAAAATGCTCAGTTCTAATTTAATGAGAAGCGTGGGGTATTGTGAATCTGGGGGGTGATTTACAGAGAATCACCTGCCCATGTTGTGCCTGTGCTAAACAGAGAACAGCTCCACCTAGCACAAAACTTTCAGCAGGTCCTGGAAAAACTCCTTGCTCCCCAGCAAAAGTGGCCAGAATTATATACATATTTAGGTGGATTACATTAGAGTCGCTTTTTTCTATGCATTTCACGAAATAGCATTTAGAAAGTGAGTGCAGTTGCTCAGCAAGCCCAGTGAAGTGGAAAGGGGCCATGACGTGCTCTTCCACCCACTGTCCCCCAGCCTACTTTAGGGCAGCAACCACACTGACCACACTTCTCCCCATCCTTGTTCTAGGCCCATGATCAGGAAAATTTCCCTGATATTTAACCTGCATTTTTTTTTTTTTGCTCAGTTTTCACCCCCTAGATTTACAATACCCCACGCTTCTCATTAAATTAAATCTGAGCATTTCAGACAAGTGAAGTCATGCTCTGATATGTGGTCACCAGAGAGATTAAAACCAGAGCTGGTAGCAGGGTGGAGGGAGGCTTGCAGCCATTTTCTTCTTTTCCAGTAGCTCTTCCTCATGATTGAAGTGACAGAAATGACAGCTGATGGACAAAAATAGGACCCTGGATTGCCAGGGAGGTGAGCTGGTACCTGTAGAGGAACAGACTACAAGGGGCAGAGTTGGTCAGTCCCACTTGCAGGGTTGAGGAGGAGGGAGGTCTTCTGAATCTTTTCTGGAAAGCCAGCTGTCATCTTTGACCTTAACACCCTGACCTTATAATCAAGCAGCATTCAGTCATGACCCTGTGCTGGACAAACTAGAGAAATACATTTTCTTCAGATGTACCTTTGAGGTTAAACAGATTTCCTCCCTCTGTATCTACTTTTTAGAACAGTTCCAAACTTTTCTTAAAGAAAAAGCAGGGGATGGGGATGTTATGCTGTATGTAGGGTACACTTCCCATCTTATTCATTAATTAGAATTCATTAATTTCATTGAGAGGAAGCCTGAGTCATAGTATCCACTATGTATGTCAAAGTATACAAATTTAGATGTCAATCCTGTAAATTGAAATAGCCTCAGAATTTTCAACTTCTAACTTCCAACTAGCTAAAGCAGACAAGTGGGAAGATACAGCTGCTGCCTAGCTGGGGGGAAAAGAAACAGAACCGCAGGAGCAGCATTCATGGGCCAAGGCGCTTTGAGGGCTGACTGCAGAAGCTTTCCCAGCTCAGGCTTCCTGCGCAGAAGGAAGCAGAGCTAGTGTTTACGTGGCAATATCCCGTTTGTCTATCTTTTTGGATTCCAATTGTTGTCTGAGGCTGAGTGAGATAGAGTTTGGAAGCCTGGAGTTGGTAAATTTCTCATTTTATTTAACTGTTTCATAGTGCAGTTTTGTCGGCTTCATATGGTAGAAAGCTATTTTTAAATCCTAGCTAATGCTCTCTGGCAGAGAGTTCTGAGGTTATAGAGAAATCTTTGTTCCAGTTTGACAAGAGCAGTTCTAACATTTCACTGGGGGAGTAAAGATGGGAGTATAAATTCATCATGTGGGGAGGCTTCCACACTTGGACCCCCAAATCTGAGATAAGCCCAGTAATATTGGCCTCAAAGATATTATAAGTAGACCCTTTTGCTACTGTCTTTAAATGACAGCCTGCTGCCTACATTCAGGAAATCTAGGCTCTAAGAGCCTCCATCTTGGACTTCTTTTTAATTTTAGGGGGGCTTTTTATTATTCTCATCTTAGCCAGTTGTAATCATTCTTTTTCTAAAGCTTTCTTTGACTCTTGCCTTAAAAGCTACCTGGTAAAGCAGCCAAGGAGGAGAGCTGTGTAGATCACCCAGATCATTTTCTGTGCCGCAGACTGGGGACTTTGGGGTCATTTGGGATCAGACAGAACTCAGGACATCTAGAATACAGTGGAACCAGTCTTTCCTGGGTCGGAAGTGCTAATGACAACGGTTCACCTCATCGAAATGCCCTGCACGTCAGTCTAGATCCCAAAGGCTAACAAGTTGTTTATTTCTCAGAGACAACCTTCCAATGTAAAAACTACTGCTCCTCCCATTTGCAAATGGAAAAAGCAAGACAGAAAGAGGTTAAGGAATGTGCCCACATTCGTACTGCTAGTATAATGTTTCTTGTTTATTTTATTAACTCCAATACATCCATTTAGGCTGGCAATTAAGTCTGACATTAATCAGTGGACAGAGGGAAGTCAGGGAGCCTGGAGGTAAAAGGCTACTCAGAAACTCTTCACAGATGAGTAAGCCTGGGCCAACGCAGGAGCCATGGAGGTGGTGGGACCAGACTGGGCAGGGAGAGAAGATGAGAGAGCTGCCACAGAGAACCCATCCCCGAGATGTGCTTGGCGCTGGCCATGAGGAAATGACAGGAAAAGTTAAAATGGTCTTCTTGTTTCAGGTTGTGCAAAAAGGGGGAAGAGTTTAGGCAGAAGAGAGTTCATTCAGTTTGTGACATTTGGCTTTTCATTCCTGCAATCAGCAACCTTACGATTAAGACTCTATGGATCACTGTGTAGCCACATCTGAGCCCATGACCACACCAAGCTGAAGACAGAATTTGTGAGCTGTGAAACTCAATGAAAGCACTCAACCCAAGGGACTCAAAGAAGCTGGAGGATCTAAGCAGAGAGAGACAAGAGGGAGGAGGCCAAGGCTGTGTCTAGAAGAGAGAGCTCAGCACAACAGATTGCTTAAATAAGCCATATAAAATAAATGTCTGAGTGTTTGGCAGTGTGGATGCCAGTGGCGGCCTTAGCAAGAGCAGCTTTGGTGGGGAAATTCAAGCAGAAGCCAGACTAGGGAACAATGAAGAGGGATAAAGCTGCGGGCTGGGGAAAGCGGCACAAGGAAACTGGAGGATGAGCAGATGCATCTTACGAAGTTTAATTTATTGGATTATTACATCCTCTATTACATGCTCTTCTAATCTTTCTACAGAGCTGCCCAAATTATCATTTAATGACTTTACTAGGATCATAGATCACATGTAATGAATACTTTATCTGCAACAAGAACCTAACTTGAATATTTAGCTTTAAATCTTGTAAGTCCACAGTGTAGACAGTACTGTTATTGTCATTGTAATGATGAGAAAAGGAAGGCTTAGGAAGATGAAATGCCTTGTCCAAGCATGTGCAAGCAGTGTGTCCCCCTGGAGGGGGTCCCAGCTACAGATTCAGACAGTCTGACTTCAGGACTTCGTGCTTAAGCTCCGCAGCACGATGTGTTGCCACAAAGGAGGACAATTTACTACCTTTCCTCTGTGACTGTACATCTAGGCTGTTTCTACTCTTATACTGAGCACATAGTTCAAATTTCTTCTGAGTTAATTAGTATAGTTCTTCAGCAGCCACATTTTTAGCTGCCCCTCTTTGATCCTCACTTGTCAAGGAGTTGAGTGATTACAGACGCAGCAATGTGGGTGGGCTGATTTAAAAAACCAAATACTGGAAGTCCATCCCTGCTCCTCCTTAAAAAAAAAAAAAGAGGGGGCAGGCTGGGAGAGGCATTCATCCAGTAAATCCACCTGGTTAGATCCTGAACTATAAATGCTTATCCCAAAGAACCTTAAAGAGAAACATTTAGCTGATGATTGAAATCATTTAATGAAGAAAATCCTGCTGAACACAGCAGTAGTTCTGCTCACCACTCTAAAGCCATTTCAAAATATTTTCAAAGGCTTTTGTAAATTCCTTTCCAAAGGACATAAGAAACACTACACTTGGCAAGATAAAATTTAACCCACAGAAGCTCAAGCAAAATTGTCAACGGATCAACAGAATAGTGCGCTCCCAGACTCCCCTGCACACAGGCACACACGCAGTTGAAACTAAAATTTTCACTAAGTGATACTTACCCTCATCATGTACTATTAACCCTAACACTTTCTTTTTTGTTCTATTTCATTTTTAAAATTCCACTTCCAACACACGAAATTGGTCTTATGAAATTTAAAGAGCTGCAGCCCACAGTTTAGAAGCCCTACTTCAAAGCTGTGCACAGAAACACAACAGCCAGCTGTGGGTGGGGGCAATCCTGCAGATGGTATCATAGAAAGTATATGGGCATACCACAGAAAACAAAACCAACAATTGCTCAGCTGCTCTGGAGCTGGCATTCCAGTGGGCAGAGACAGCAGCTGAGCAAATTAAACAGATACATACCAGGGAATGATAAGGGCTATATTGGCTTCCTATCACTGCTGTAACACAGTACCTCAAAGTTAGAGGCCTAAGACAACACAAATTTTTTGTCTTACAGTTATGGAGGTCAGAAACCCCAAAGGGGCTCGGTGAGCTGAAATCAAGGTGTTGGCTGTGTTCTGCTTGGGGGTGCAGGCAGCCATTCAGTCCTTTGTCTGTTCCAGGTGCTGGCAGCTGCCCACACCCATGGGCTTGTGTCCCCTTCCACCTGCAAAGCCAGCCTCACTGGGCTGAGTCCTTCTCATAATAAACTGCTTTGTCCCGGCTTCTGCCAGCACTTCTCTGGCTCTGCCCTTCCTGACTCCCTCTATAAAGATATATGGTTAGACTGGGCCCACCTGGATGACCAGTGTCCCAATACCCTTAAGCATATCTGCAAAGTTCTTTTTGCCATATAAGGTAATGCACCTGTCAGGTCCCAGGGAGTAGGGATTTGTTTTAGGGGTACACTGGTCATAAAATGTGAAAATCTTGGCAGATTCACTCTTGGCATATTCACTCTTCTTGACCATCTGTGCTGTTTGCTTCCTCTCTCTCTCTCTCTCTCTCTCTCTCTCTCTCTCTCTCTCTGGAACCTGGGCCTACAAAGCAAGTTGTAGCTGAACAGGGAGCCCAGCCAGAGATCTGCATCCCAGGGGCCTTTCATGGGCTTTGTCCTGTCAGGAGGGTAAAGAATTTTCCCAAAATTCTCATTTTGGTCTTCCTTTATGAACTCTGAACACCAGAGGGAAAGAAGAAGTATTAATGGAGGTTGAAGGGCTTGACTTGTGATGTAAAGATATGCCCAAAGATGTGGGGAAGACAAAGCCAAGCGCCTAAATGAACTTCCTGTGTGCAAATCCAGCGCTGCACTCAAGTGGCAGGTGTGCCATTCATGAGCACCGGGGCCCTCTGTATGTGTCTCTTTGCCTCCATTTGTGGAGTTTGAATTTTATGTTTAGGGACTGAAGAGTCACTAATCTTGTCACAGCCCTGCTCCCATGCTGTACTGTCCACAGGCGGAAGAGTCAGGGAGAGCTCCATGTGCCCATGGTGGTGGCTACTGGTCTGGTTTCATGTGTAATCTTGGTGCCTTTGTTTTATTTCAGGGAAAACTCGATGCCTTGTGGGTCCTACTGAGGAAGGGATATGATCGTGTGTCTGTGATGCGACCGCAGCCTGGTGACACGGTAGGCCTTCTCTGTGGATGCATGGATACACACACTTCTGTCCTTCTCCTTCTCTGTCTCTCTGTGTCTGTCTGTCTGTGTCTGTCTGTCTGTCTGTCTGTCTGTCTGTCTGTCTGTCTGTTTCTCTCTTTCCTCCTTCCTCTCCCTCCCTCTTTCTCCCTGTATCTCTCTCTCCCTGTATCTCTCTCTCTCCCTGTATCTCTCCCTGTATTTGATACGTTGTCACAAATCAGGTACACTAATTTTCAAAATTCTACCTGTCACAAGACTTTATGCTTTTCTTTGATTCTAAGTGAAGTTTCACAGAAAAATATTGAGCTTCTCAACTTACAGGTACGGTGAATGCTAGAATATGGCCGAGTTGAACTTTGCGGACTCCCAGGAGAGAGCTCCGCTGGGCCTCTGCCACACTGGCCAGTGGCAGGGAAGAGTGCCAGTAACCGCAAGGTCAGGATGAAAGAATAAGAGGCCACAGAGAACTCTTACCATCTTCCAACAGGTGTAGGACCAACCATCCAGGACTATGGGGGATTATTTTATCTCGGGTGAGGGTTGGTCTAGGAACTGCTAGAGCTAAGTGTGAAGTGTCTTTAATCAGGAGGAGTTACAGACATGAAACCCACAAAGACCTTAGCGGTTATCTAGCCTATGTCTGCATTTTTTGCCAATGAGGAAACAGACAAGGAAAATTGAATAATTTGTTCTGGTTCAGAAAATGACACTGCTATTTCTTGTCAGAGCTAGATGCTCTTCTACAATTTTTGCCCTGCAAAGCATGTTATCAAATTCTCCTTTAATTACGAGCAACCTGCATTTTCCATTCACTTTTTTGGGAATGAAGTCCATTAATCCAAAAGCAAAAGGTGTCTAATTTAGATTTCATTTTCAAATCGAGCAGACTTTGATTTAAATATCCCTTCCTCCCTGGCTGGAAAACATTAAGGAAAGCCTCCTAACCTCTTTATTTCATCTTTCTAAAGTAGATAGCCTGGTGGAGAATGGTAATGTTTGTAAAAAAAATTTGATGCAGTGTTGTTCATAGAATAATTTTCAATTAATGTCAAATCTGTTTATGATTATTTACTATGTGTTTTTCTACTCTCTTTGAATGGTTGGTGTCAAGATGAAACCATGTTGTAGTTGATGTGAGCAGGATACGTGCATTTTTGCCCATTCTCTGACATGACGTCTCTACCACACACTAGCAGATGCTGGTAGGCAGGCCCCTGACACCACACTTGCTTTGCTTCTGGTGACAACAGGCATTTTGTGACTAAAGGGAATTAATCTAAAGTTCCACCGCTTATGGGAGCTACTACCCAGCCAGCTCTTCTTCCTCCAAATTGTGGCGGGGATGACAGGTAAACGTGTTGGAAAACCAAGTCGTGTGAATGTTGGGTCAACCCAGCTCTCATGGCATATGGTTCGTTGTTGCGTGAAAGTCAACTGCAATGAATTTACATTGGAAACTTTAGAATACAAATCCTTTGGGTACAGAAATGGACCCCGGCTATAAAGTTAGTATTCAGGAAAGTATTTGGTCTTTTAAATTATACATCTGGTTTCTGTGGAAAACAGGAGAATTTAAGGATTCATAGCACTTATCTCATAGATTAAAAATAATAAAATAGGGTTCAGCGGTACCATTTCTGTGGCAGAACATGCTGGTACAATGTACAATCCTTTTTTATTTTGAGCAACTAACAGAAAGCCTCACTAAGTATGTTAACAGTCTCTTCTCAACTGATTAGTTTGGCAGAAACAAATTGATAAACTGGGTCAACCTAAGAAGTGAGAGGGTAATAAGAAAAAGAAAGTCTTGAAAGAAATGTCATTTATAGTCAGTGTTGAGGTCACAAAGTTGATTGTACAAATCCAAGAACAATGGAATAAAAACTGATGGAATCTCCTTTAATGCATCATACCTAAATTGAATATCTTACTTACTAATTCTGAATGAAAGCTTGTCTTAGCATTAGGTGTTCCACATGTTTTTGAAAAACACAGCACCGCCTTGAGCTTCCACCCCCAATCCCACAAAATGATAGATTTGAAGTATAGGATTGTAAGGGTCAGAACACATTTGAACACATTGTCAGTGCTCTTTCAAATTCCAGTTGTCCAGTTAACTTTGGACTTTCTTTCCAGACATTCTGCTAAAATTACATGACACATGGGAGAAAACAGATGCCCAGAACTGTGTCCCTGTCATCATGGTGGTGGCCACACACTTCTCCATGTGCACATGTAGCTACGCAGGAACAGTCAGGGACAAGGGGAGGGAGCTGCAGTCCACAGCTGTGTTAGGACTTCTCAGGAGAGAACTCCAGGGGCATCCGCGGGCAGGCAGGACCATATTACAGGCTGGTCCACATGCTTCCTCTGCTTTGTTTTGCAGAAACCTTAGCAGACTCATTACAGACCTGCATGTCTTGCCCAGTATTGACTGGGAATTCCTTAGCACTGATTTATGAGGCTGACCACATTTTCCATAAACTCAACATGACTGCTGGAGACATGTGCTCGTGAACAAGAGTCACAGGTTCTGGATTTTTCCTTTAAAACAAAACAAAAACAAAAACCACCAGTTACACTCTCAGTTACATTCTGAATTGCTTCAGACATATATTGACCTCACAGAAACCTGGCAATTCATCCACCTTAGCTCCTGTCTGCCCTGCGCTCCTCCCAGCTAACACACTGCAGAAGCAAGCACAGCCCACCAACAAGTCCTCCAAGCTCCCAAAAGGCCTGACTCCTCCACCCCACCTCAGAGCATGGGATGCTGGCTGCCCGAGCCCAGATCCACCGCCCTTCTCTAGCACTGGCGCCCCACCTCCTCAGTGCTAACCACACCCCACATCAGGGAAAACTGAAGTGGATGACAGCAGCAGCTGAGGGCTTCTCATCTGCTGCCCCTGCCTTCCTCCTCCTGTATGGGGTGGCTTCGGGGACCCATTGTTCCTTGGAGCCCACCAAGAACCCTGCCAACATAAAATTGAAAAACTTCCAAAAGAAACCACCTAACTAAAATATATCTGATCCTAAAACCTGAAAGTTCCCTAAGCCTGTGATGTACTTTGTCATAATAAACTAGAAGTTCCTATCCTATTAAACTAGAAACCGAAACCATAGAGAATAATGTCATATCAAACTGAATCAATACCTTGTATTCGTTCTTTGAAGTGTAGAAGGTGACTTGGATTTACTCTGGGTCCTTGCAGTGAACAAAACTGTAACAATACAGTTCAAAGCCCCAAGGAAGCAGATCATCTAAAGGAAGTAGAGGACACGAGTTTTCAGAACAGATGGGCCAGGAACTGACATCACCATGCAGGCATAACATAAGTTGAACCATATGGCCAGGGTGTAGTAGGTGAGTCCTGTAGGGGGCCAGTGATTCTGAAACTTACATATCAGAACCAGCTAGCAGGCTTGTTAAAACAGGCTGTGGGGTCCACCCTCAGTTTCTGATTTGGGGTGGGTCTGGCAATTAGCATAGCTGATGACCTCCTGGGTGGTGCACTTTAAAGAACCAGTGAGATAAACTGAGCAGAGTGACAATCCAGGCCCCTCCAACCCTGTGAGCTTGGATTCTAAGTTAATACGTTCACAAGGATTTAACCACCAAGTCACAGCTCCCCTGTATTTTTCCATATAGCACACAACTGGAGAAAAATGGTTTAGCTTAAATCTAAATACTCAGTCCCAGTGAGTTGTAGAGAAGCCCTTGCAATTTGTAGACTACTGTTCCTAGATTGCTAATTTCACACACAGAAAGGTAAAGGAATTCAGAAATCAGAGTTCATGGAATGCAGTAATTTCAAACCTGGCTTTAAAGCACTGGATCCCACACCAACATTTCTATTCAATTGCCTGGGAAGAGGAACAGGCATCAGGCTACTAGATGCTCACGGTGATTCTGATGAGCACCCAGGACTGAGAACCAGGAAGCAGGCCCAAGTCCCTACTGTTCATGCAGACAGCATCTTATCTTTTCTTCCTGAAACAATGTAAAGATAACTCTAAGAGCCTCATGGGCATAAGGAAAGTAGACAATTACCATCTTCATGTGCTTTCAACAGTCTTTTTATTCCCAGAAAGCAGGCTGATGTAGATTCCAGCTGTTATTATTGTTACTCCTTGGGCAAAGAAGGTAGAAAAAAGAAAATATTACTCCCTAGTCTTTTCCCACTAAGACAAACTCCACCCCTTCCCTTGGTCCTAAATGGCCCGCTATGTCTTTTGTTTTGTTTTGTTTTGTTTTCAGCTTCTTGGTTGAGCCCTGATCAGGCATCAGGAGGCTGGTACATTCCATTTCTGTCTGCACACAGAACACTCAGGCACTCTGAGCTTATTTTGCAAGGCTTGGTCCCTTCACAATCAGAAAAGACCTGAGGAAACACACACAAACTACACATAAACACTGCTTAAAGCTCAGCTGAAGTCCAGCCCCAGAGGTTGTGAAATCTTCTCCCAGAGCTCCAGCGCCAGGGCTGCCTTCTGCACAGCTGTTTCCAATAATGTACCGAGTCCAGTCACATGGGCACCATGGCTCCCTGATGTCTCAGGGACTAGCATGGCCTGGACACGTTATCTCTAGGGGAGCATCCTCAGGCTGGTCCTTTCAAACAGGAGAGCTCTCATAACATAAGAAAAGCTCAGGGAAAACCTTTGCATTGTTTCTCTCTTTCACATGCTATGCATCTTCTCTTCTTCTTTCTTTTTCCTTCATTCTTTGTTCTTTCTCCTTTACTGCCAATTTTAAATGCTTGCCATGGCTCCCTTCCCTGAAACAGTCAAACATCTACCACTCCCACTAGAAGTCAGTTTTCGCGTGCTTAGTTCTAGCTGCCTAGAGTTCAGCGTGTGATGTGGATGAAACAAGGCTCAAGCACAGAATTAACTGCAAAAGAATTAACTGCAGGGGCTGGTGAGATGGCTCAGTGGTCTAAAGCACCTACTTAGAACAAGCTTAACAAAGCACAGGGACTGCGGTT